TCACGTTATCTAGGAAAGTAAAAATAGATTCCTCCTTAAAAAGTAATCCTTCCTTTTGTATAGAACAGAAATGCGAGTTAATATCGGAAGTTACGCTCTTCGAATTGTTGTAAAACTCGAATAACAATTAAAAATTTGGATTAAAATCATAATGAGTCAATTAAGATACGATAAGGATATTTTTTGTTTTTTGTTTTAGTTCGTAACTTGATTAATTTCATAAATTTTCATAAATTTATTTGAATGGAGCATTAAAAAAAATTTATATTTTTATCGTTTCATGTTATTTTATATTGTGGAAAAATGTTAAAATCAGCCAATAAGATTCGCTGTGTCGAGTAATTATTAAGCGTGATTTGAGAATCGCACCATTGATAAAAGTTTGCGATAAATCAAAGAAATTAAAACTCGATTATAGGCTGGATTAAATTCTAAAATGTGGGAATAGATACTAAGGCAATTTTTCATCCCGCGTTTCCAAGCATTTAGCTAATTAAAAGTTTAAAATATTTATCACATTAAATTAATATTCAACAAATCAGGAAAGGTTTTATTCTTAAAATCGAAAGTTAACTCCACATCATGGTAATCTACAGCAAAGAACTACAAATTCAAAGAAAGAAAACCCAATAGAAAAAAATAGTACGAACGAACAATGAATTAGATAATTCTTAATAATAATTCTTGCATGATTCTAACACCTGCAGGGTGACCTGAAGTTATTGAACCAATATTTTTGAACTCCTCCGTTTCACGTACAACATCAAAGTTTCTACATATATATTCGATGACCTCATTTTTTAGATCTTCTGATTTCCAAGCGTTGAAAAATAAGAATCCGATCGAACTTTTTGGTGTTAATCTCTTCACAATTTCAAACTTTACAAGTTCCTTGAGATTTGTAATAAAGAATTTTTCAGCAATGATGAACAATTTCATAATATCACGTTCATCATGGAGTATCAGTTCATCAGTATATAAAAAGTTTAACATTGTAAGAAGAATCTTTGAAGAAAAGTCAGGAACGTCCAAAATGTAATGAGAACCTTTTTTGTTGACCTTAATCAGTTCGGGTCCGCCTTCTTTGAATAGATTTTGAAAATACTTTGATCTACTTGTGAGAATTGATTTTCGTGCAAAGATGACACCATTATTGACGTTAAATTGTACATCCGAGGCTTCACGATCGTAAAACTCATCCGACCACATGGAGATTATCTTGTTTTGATTTGTAACGCGTTTATTCGAGTCTTCAAAAGAATTCAACTCAAGGCTTGATCCTATGAAAGTGACACCGATAATTAATTTTTTATATGGGCAAGGAAGGAAAAATAGAGCGCCTATTTTAAAGTACCAAAAAAAAAAAAAAAAAAAAATAAATCAATATTATAATATAAAATTTTTTAATCTTGAATTTAACTACTTACGGTGAATATTATGATATCGAGAAAAATTTGCACAAATATATCGCTCATCCAATATTTTATTTTCCGAAACTTTACAATATATTTTTTGAAAAACGCTGGAATGATCTTTCCAAATATTATCCGATAATTGATCTTCTCGGTTGGCTATCGCAATTAAATCTATTGTGAAGGCTCTTGAACTTTTACCCTAAAAAACGGGAAAATCTTATGAATTTAGGATTAATCAATAAATAAAAAATTATATACAAAATGAATGATTCTGATTTATTACCGAACCACTAAATTTTAATTGCCAAAATGCATCGGAGCTGCTTGAAAAAGGTGGAGTGTAATAAGTTTTACAATCCTTTATTACATGTTCAGGGAGGGTGAATTCAAAAGTGGATGTTACTTCGTTTGTCATTTTATCTTTTGAGAAAATGTTGAGCCGATTGAAAAAAATCTTTCTAGCTTTAAAACAAACAAATGATCAAATTGCGTTATGATGCTATTCATATATAATGATTCTTTTTTTTATAAAAAAAAGCCAAAGGAAAAAGTTTTTTTTTGATGGCTTAGATCAGAGAATCAAACAATGTTAAATAACAATGAAATTATGAAATTGTACCGATTTCACATTCCGCAGTATGTTTACGTGATTATTTTGCAATAACTAAGTTGATTACTTAACTTGGACATTTCTAATAAAAATTTTAAAAAGCACGTCAACAAAAATGTGTCAGCCACAAATAATAAACCGCCAAAAAAGGAATTAGTTAATTTATGATCCGCAGCAGCCGAATCAGTACGGTACTTCTATTTAAACGAAGTTTTGGGCGATCTTTTCATAGATTCAAGATTGGTTGAAATGGATCCTAAGTACTCGAAATTTATAAAATGATTAAATATTTTCAATGTAAATAAGATATTTGTTTAATCTTAATTTGCTAAACGCATAGATTTTGCAAAATACTATTACATTTGTCAGGTTTTTTTACAAGAGAATTAACGAGAAAATTTCACCTCACAAAAAAAGATCTCTCGTCACTTATTTTTTTTATTTTATTTTTATTTATTTTTTTTAAAAAAAAAAAATTGTTCAATTGTTTTTAAAGTATTATTTATAATCGTCCTTTATTTTAATTTTAATTTTTTTTTTTTTTTTTTGTTCTATTTCTATTTTAATACTACTTTTTTTTTCCTTTTGTTTTTGAAAATTCGAAGTAGTTTTGTTTTCCGGAAACAACATTAAAATAAATTTTGTCTACATAAATAAATTATCTATATTATTATAACTATCATATTAATATACATACATACATAATTTAAGTTAAATACTTTTTTGGTATTAATTTTCCAACAATTTCATGCATGATCTCAATACCAGCAGGATGACCTTTATATTCCGAAGCCAAGGTTTTAAATTCAACAGTTTCTCTGACACTCTCAAAATTCAACACGATAAAATCAATAACGTCTTCTTTGAGATCAGACCATTTCCACGCCTCACTAAATAAAATGTTCATGGCATTATTTAATGTAAGCATTTTGTAAATTTCAATTCTAGCAATCTCTCTTAAATTTGATATTAAATATTTATCAGCGATCTTAAATATTTCTAAAGGACTACAATTTAAATTATTAAAACTTATCTCATCTGTATAAAGGTATCTAAGCATCTCCTTAAATGTCGCAAAGGGAATATCGGGCACTTTAATAACGTAATGAGAATTATTATCAATCTCTTGTATTGACTTATTGGTCTCGCTCCAACTTCCTTGAAATAATCTACGAAAATATTCTGAACGTTTTAATAACATTGATTTACGAGCGTAGGTTGTACCATCCTTCAGTTCAAATTGTATGTCATTTGATTCCCTATCATAAAGTTCTTCCTCCCACAAATTTATAATCTTTTTTGGCTTTGAGGTGGTTGTCATCGGTGAATCGATCTGATTACGCTCAAGTTTTGTATTGTTGAATGTCACTCCAATCGTTATCGGATAATTTGTATTTAATGGCTTATTAAAATTCTTTCCTATGATATTGAAAAGGGATAAACGACGATTATTATTAAATTGGAAGAAATCTTTTTTAAATCAAAAAGTGAAAAAAAAAAAATATCTTAAATACAGCTTAGCTTTCGCTTACCCCATGCTCTGTTCCTCACGGAGTAATCATCCGTTCTTAGGGAATAAGATTTGTAATAGTTGCAATTCTTGATGTATATCATTGCGGAAAGGTTGGAGCGTTTATCCCAATATTTCATCGTTTGCGTCTCATCTGGATTCGGTATCGCTATAAGGTATAATAAACAAAATTCTATATTTTCCGGTTCCGTCTTCGGGACGTTCGGGAAGTTGAAAAGAATGTTAACATATGTCGGAAACTTATTTAAATAACATTTTTAACAAAATTATATTTTACCGGATGAAATTCCAATTGCCAAAAAATATTGTCCCCCGTGGAAAATGCCGGTGTGTATATAACTTTATCATATCTCGTTATCGTATGAGGGATTGAAAATTCGAAGGTTGAATTGATATTCAATGGCGAATTTGACATGATACACTGTGACCGTTGTGTTTTTTTTTATCTTATTTACCTAGCAGTTTATAGTTTAGATTTGTGCAGCTTAAAAATATTAAAATTTTTTTTTTTTTTGATAAAAAAAAAAAACCTTGTTAAGACAAAGAGAAAAAAGAAGGACGGATAAAAAAAAAAAAAAAAATTTTTTCGTTTAAAAGCATATGTTTTTTAGGACTAAGCCAAAAAGTTATGAACAATCCTAAATTGGTTTTTTAGGTTTGTATGGCGTGAGAGAATGAATATAAAAGAAATTGTGCGATGTTCAAGATGCAGAGTTTGCAGGCCCAACACACAGCTAGCATATGATATGAAAGTTCTCACGTGATTCAATTCTCGAAACAAAAAAAGAAAAAAGAAAATGCATCGAAGGGGTGATGAAGTTGTCACATTACATATCGACCCTACCCTTATTAGTAGCAATCATCTCGTGAATGTAATATAAATCAGGAAATGAATGACGGATTTTCTGACACGATGCATAGAATCTTGTCAAAATTCTTTATATTTCACGTATAAATTTCCATTTTTTTTTTCCCTTCTCGTTTCCTAATTTTCTATTATTGAAATCAACGTCGGATGAAGATGACGCGTGGAAATTCGTTATCGCAAGATTTCAGGAATATGATCAACAACTCTCAGTTTAGCGATATCGAAATTTTATGCGAGAATGATGTAATCTTTTACGGAAGTAAAGTTATTTTAGCGGCAAGGTCGGACGTTTTTAATGGATTACTTTATAATGGAATGAAAGAAACTTTTCAGAAGCGAATCTCATTTCCTGATATTAAATCAAGCGCGATGAAGATAGTTTTGGAATTTCTATACACTGGAACCATCGATGCTTCTTTCAATGAGGATAATTTAGTTGAAGCGAATCTAGCAGCAGATTATTTTCAATTATCTGAGTTACAAAGGTTAATGATTGAAAATCTCAAAGACGCGTTTGGTGAAAATGTGAGAAATGTAAATAGATCACCTGAACTCTTATCGGTCTTGATTTCAAAGATGCCTTTCCATCAGAAGACAAGAGGAGAAGGAATCGTGAATGATCCGTTATTCGATTTTCTTGCGGATTCTGTGGCAAAGATTCATTTCGATAATATTCCTTTATCAACATTTTCGATCGAAGCGTTAGAGTATGTTTTGTCCTACACCTTTAATTCTAATGAACCATTCTTCACTCCAGAATATACGATCTTTCGATATTCCGTTTTATTGGCCGCGCAACAGATAGATTTGGATACTTACCATATGTTGGAAGCTAGATTACCTGATCTAGATGACGTTGAAATATTCTTTGAAGATGAACCGGAATTCAATCATAAGAAATTTAATAAAGTTCGACATAAAATTTATCGACTAATCCATCCTTTAATAAAGTTCATCGATTTTCGTAGGATTGATGGAAGTATTTTATCAAGAATCATTGAACCTTTAGGATTAATCCCGAGTTCGATCATCATTGAGGCGTACAGGCATTACTCAACGAATAAAAGGAACCTTCCGGCAACTCGTGGAATTACGAAAATCTATTGGGATGAAGGGGGAAGCGGCGATCATATTTATGTTATAGGTGAAGGATCAGTCGCAACCACAAATCATCAATGTTATGAAAATATCAGAACGAATTTCGTTGTATCAAATAACGGTACATTTGAATGGGATATTCGTATTGAAGAAATCGGTAAATTGGAAATTTGTGTGGGAGTGCATGCTAATTCAAAATTTAATTACAATCTGTTTGGTGTGTGTCAAAAGAATACTTGGTTATTTTCTTCTGCCGGCATTTTATATTCTCATACAGGAAGTTCGTTTTTTAATTACAAATTTAGCAAAGGCGATCAAATCACTTTGCAATTAAATATGAATGATCAAACTCTTGTCTTCTCTCTTAATGGTAAAAAGCTCTTAATTACCGAACTAAAACGGAAACGAAAATATTATCCCATAGTCTCTCTTAATCATCCTGCTAAAGTTCGACTTTTACCTAATTTGAGACAATCCTGAGGGCAAATATCAGTGGATGAAATTTTTTTTTTACATTGTTTTATTATTCTCAATGAAATCCCAATTCCGTTTAGTTGGCAAAGTTAGAATGAAATAAAACAAGTAAAACACATTTTTTAAAAAAAAGTCAGTCAACGTTCTCATCGAAAAAGTATTATCATTTGTTTGTATGATGTTATAAGAAATTATTAAGTTAATAAATTCGGAATCTAGAAAAGCCATTTGAGCATAGATCGATTACGTAATTTGTCACCTGATCTAGTGTATATATGAGAATTTGTTTTTGTCTCGTAGATTTTCAACTTTATACCTATTACTATCCACACAAATTTCTCTTTAAAATAAACATGCTAAAGCTTAATAATGATCGTCTTTTCATGATTTTTAACGAATTAGAAAACGATATATCAACTTTATATTCTTGTCTTTTGATAAATCGAGAATGGTGTGAAAACGTTGTTCCGGTCTTATGGAAACATCCTTGGAAATTTTTTATAAAAAGGGATGACTTATATCGTAATTATATCACAAGAAACGAACGAGCTCTCTACGACACGATTATCTTGCATTTATGAATGAATCACAAGATTATTTGAAAAGTTAAGGGATCAAGTTATTCGATAAATACACAAAAAAAAAACCTTTGTTTAACTATGTTGGCTACTGTAAAGATTTGGATTTTTCAAATTTTGATAGATTAATCGATGAGATATTTGACCCATGTGAGGAAACAAGACTTTCGATTGTTAAAGTTGAAATATTGAGAATGTTTATTAGGAAGACAAGGATTATAAATCTCACAATGCCTAGACTAGAGAATTTCCAGATGCAACATTTTTCGGGAATTGATAATTGGTTTTCAAATCTCGAATGTCTTACCTGTAATACTATAAATCAAGAAACTTTTTTTGAACTGGCCAGATTGTGCACGTCAATTGGATCTCTAAATATTGTCTTAGGAAATCTCGATAATCCCGGATTATTTAGAAACAACTTCATGAAATTGGTTTTTCACTGGATCGTAGAAACGATTATAAAGTTTATAAAGATTATAGTTCATTTAGTCGATTATTAATTGATCCATTATCGACAAATGCAAATTCCATTCAACATATTAGATTAGTCAATGCAGCTTTGTTTCCTTTCAGTATCCTCTTTTCGTTGGTCAACTTAAAAAGTTTATATGTTGGTAATAGACAGACTTATGATTTTTGGTATTTTCTAGAGATTTCTTCATTTCCGAACCTTGTTAAACTTGTCACTACTTGAACAGACGGCAAGAATTATTGAAAATTCCACATCAAAGCTTAGAGAGATTATAATTGAAGATACATACAACATATAATCGAATTCGAATGCATTATGATAGATGCATCCAAACGATTTGTCAAACTTGTCCAAACCTTAAATATTTCAAGATCATAGTAAAGTGGACTGATGAATTTTACGATCTGAGAGATATATTACAAAATTGTCATTATTTAGAAGGTTTGGTAATTGAATTCCCTTACGATTCTGAATCTGATATTGATGATGATGAGAGTTTGGTGGGGAATGATTGTAAAATATTATTTGATATATTAGCCAAACATTCTCCAATGCGTTTATATAAATTTAAATTACAAAATATAAAGACGTTTATACGCGATAATCTAAAATCTTTCTTTGATAACTGGAAAGATCGACCACCCATGTTATTTCAAACTATGCCAAAATGTAGACTCTTTGGAAAGCATTTTGATCTTATTAAAGAATATACAGCGAAAGGTGTTATCAAGAAGTATGATAATATTTTATATGTGGAAAATAATTATGATTACTTTGAATGGGGGTAAAAGTATAGAAAATTTAATAAAATAAATTTTATATACGTACGTTTACTTTTAAATACCTTTGATTGCTCTATTTTATTTTACACCATAAAATTTGTTATTAAAAAGAAGAATTGTATGAAACCAATATCAAATTCAATAAACAATTTGCAATTCTTTCATATTTAAGATTTATTGAGTCAAAGGAAAGTTTACCAAATGTTCTTCTTTTCTTTGTCTAAACTCTTTTAAATAGGATATAATTTTATAAATTTACATTAAATTATAAATAAATATTAGTTATAAATATTGAGACTAATTCGCACAATAAAGAAAGAAAATTCTTCTCAATTCACAACATTTATCAGCAATTCTAATTATTTTATAACAACTTGCCAATTTAACCCCATTACGCTTGGCATTTCTCTATGAATTAAAAACGAACGACAAATCAATCAATGAATGAATTTCAAATCCTTACATTATTTGTAAGAATGCTTTAATAATATTGATTTTAAACCTACCTCCATCATAACAATTTAGATGTATCTGATATGAAATCATATTAACCATACTTTTAGGTATACTTTTAAACTTAAATTTTGTTTTATATAAATGGCAGATTATTTGTTTCATTATTACCTCTGCCTAAATAGCTACCCGTATTTCTATTCAAAGAAAAATTTAATGTATAAACTTTATACTTATTTTCTTATTTTAATATATCAATATGAAAAACCAAAATGAATGTATTTTATTCACAAATTCTATAATGTAGAAACAATTATACAAAAAAAAAAAAATTCTATATATATCTCAATGAATGACACTTTGACCAGAAAGAAAATCTTACAGTTTGGAAAAATTGAGTCAAAGAGAAAATCATTCCAAAATACCTGAACAATTAATTCTATAAATTAAAACGACAATTGTTAATAAAACCCTGTAGAAACAACCATTAATAACATAATAACTTTCAAAAATACCTTTTTTTTATAATTTCTTTTTCTTGTTCCCAAATCCAATCTCTTATATCATCATATTGAGTTCTATAATACTTTAAACTAGTAATATAATCTAATTTATATTCTTTACCTGATTTTATTAGGGGTTTATATCTACTTATTTCAAATCTTGGCGATATTTCTAATGGTGTCTCTTTCTCTAATTTATAAGATATTTCAAGGATTCTGGAAATATTTATGGTATTAGTTCTAGTAAAGAAGTCCTAAGAACAAAGTAGGTTAGCAAAGTTATTTTATTTCAATCATTATAAGATTATAATGATACTTACCAAAATTTGATTACTTTGGTTCATTTCTAATAAAATGTCCCTTGCAACCATTATATAAGAGATTATGAAAAAACACATAAACGATGGCTCATCATTTGATAACAAATGATCCCATAATTCCAACCAATCTTCTCGCGTTAATATTTTTGTAAAACTCCAAAGAATCATTGTCCATACACAATCCTATATCAAAATAATCTTTTTTGATTAACATTAATTATAAAATCAGTAAAGAGAAAACTTCATATATTTATTACCTGAATCTTTATATTACAAGACATCAAATGCGTATGTAAATCATTATCCCAATGTGCTAATAAAACATTTATAGCATTCATAATATTGGTTGGAGGGTTTGGAAATTCATCCCAGCGATATTGATACCAGTTAACTAATTATATAATAATAATAATAAATTTGTAAAGCAATTCTTTTCAAATAAAGAAAATAATTAAAAATGTAATTATTCATACATAATATACTCAGAATTAGTTCAAATGATAAAGTTTCGTATGTATCCGATAACAATTCCGCAAATGGATATACCATATGGAATATCCATTCCACTACTACTCGTTGATCATATCCTAATCTAACAAAGGCTGATAAAAAACTGCCACAAATACAATTCGTAATTCTATAAATAAAAATAATCATCCCCAAAAAAGTATGAACTTGGAATAGCTCTTAACCTTTCTAATTTTCCTATTATCCTTCGCCGTTTGGAATCACTCGACTTTAGATTATTTGACAATGAAGCCTTGATTGCGGGATCCACACCTTTGCTGGTTACTTCTTTGTAAGCTTGTCGGTTTTGAGGAAGATCCAATAATATACTCCATACACGTACTCTATTTTATATTTAAAATTTAAAAAGAAATTAAATTAAATATAAACCAAAACGATTTTCGAATCCCACTTGTATATCCTGGTCGAACCTCATTTATAATAAAAAAATAATTTACCTATGCTTGTCCGGGTATCTTCCTAAATGATGCAATTTTTCAACCAATCTCCCTCTTTTCTTTTCTCTTGAATCAGAAGATAATCCCTAGAAAGTAAAATTAGTGATATAATATTTCAAATACTTCAGGTTTAGAGAAATATGGTAAATACCGATAAATTTCTTGATTCCATAGAAGTTATTGAAGTTCTCCTTGAGGTAAGATCTGCTTCTAAAAGTAAATAGTAATAATTTCTTAGTTTATTCAAAATTCCTTGGTCAAGACCTTCTAATTAATAAAAATGATTACCTTGAATTGAAATAGAGTTTTCTGAAGATACGCCAGTTGATGCGATTAGCCCATTTGTTGCTTTAAGCTCTTGACCATAAGCAATATCAGAAACTTCTTCATCATCTTCCGAAGTAACTTGCGAAGAAAGCATAACATTAGATGATAACGACATTCGTATTTCGGTGGGTGGAGAAATACTTCTCAATGTGGAAAAATCACGATATTTATGTTGCAACTTCAAATAAACAAAAATTTTAAAGTTATTAATCATATCAAATCATAATACGAGGAATATTTAATATATACACACAGTATCTGATATTAATACTTCCAAATCCCATATTTTTAAAATTGCTCTTTCCTCCATTGAATTTGTTACAATGAATTTTCCATCGGGGGAGATTTCAAAATATTTGATCTATTATCAGATATTAAATTCTAGAAAATTAATTATAACTAATATATAACCATAAACTACAATAAAAAGAAATCTTACGGGACGCTGCACGTTTAGATGGTATATCTGTGATTCAATTTGAAAAATGTCAATAATCAGAAGTCTCCCATCTGAAGAAGAAACCAAAAGATCCTAAATAATAAAATTAAAAAATAAATTATATAAAATTACAATTTTCATATTGAAACGCCATCACGTCTTCCTTACCGAATCATCATGAATTAATTCGAGTTTCATAATTTCACCTTCAATTATAGACTTAAGGTTTATATCCCGAATTAAATTTTTCGTATCGAATTCCCAAACAAACACGTTTGTTCTAATAAAATATTATGATACTTATAGATTACTATAAATCAAGAAATTAAACCGGACTTGGATTGGATTGGACAAATGATCTAATTCTAATCGGATATAATTTGGTTGAAAAATTGGATTGGATCCAATCCAAATCATTTTATGATCCGCCAATCCTGATAAATTATGAATGCGTCCAGTATCACTTACTTGCCGGCAACTAAGATCAATTTACCATTTTTCGATGTTGCCGCTATTCTACACGTATTATCATACGCGTCACTAAATATTAACAAATCAGAAACTCGTGTTGGAACTTGTAATTTCCATAGAAGATCAAAAGAACTGTTAGACCATATATATATTGAATCATCAAAAAAACTTGTAATGATATATTCCCCTTGCGCTGAGAAAACAGCCTAAAATTATTATAAATCTAACATTAAAATTTTTCATAAATAAGAAAACAAATTACTCATACAATACATACGCGAGTTAACGCGACATCATCTTTGATATGATTCAAAACTTTTTGCTTGGACCAATCAACCATATTCCATAATATTGCTTCGGATTTTGCACTGGTTATGACGGCATGTTGTTTTGGGTGCATTGATATCCAATTTACTGGACTTCGATGGCTTCTAGCTTCAGCAATAAGTTGACGAGTTCCTTTATGAAATATCGTCAAGATTAGAAAAGTTACAAAATGGAGAATCAAAAATTTCTTATTGCTTACCAACGTTGTAACATCTGATAGAGTTGTCGGTAAATGCCACTACTAATTCATTTCGAACCAAATGAGTAAAGGCAATAGCAGAAGCTGCTATACCTAATCGAGAAACCTGCCAAAACCTGTGATCTTTAGCTATTTTATCTGAAAACAAAAAATAAAAGCGAACTGGATTTAACTCACTTGTTTGCACCAAAATCAAATACCATAATGCACCCATTTTGGTCTGCAGCAGCCATCATTAATGTTCCATTCATGGCTTCTTCTAAAATACTAAAACCATCATAAAATCCTGATTGGAATCCTTTTCCACTCTTTTGACTTGCAGGAGCAAAACAAAAACAACCAAACGCGATAGGTCGATTATAAGTTCTTTTAACTTGTTCCTTTCGAGGTCGATGAGCATTTGTGACATTTAACAATAAACTTTGCAAAATGAAATATTTTTTAATTATAATTAACTAATAATTTAATGTGAACCTAATAAATAATACATACCCATATATATCCTCAACAAAATTCTCAGGTTTTTCTTCTTCAATAATATTTTCGATTTCTAACTCCTCCTGAGTTCGGGTTTCCTTTCCTCTAGTTTTTTCACAAATTTGACTTGACTTTATTCCGGCAATAAATACATTAAAAGCCATAACCATTTTATTATAATATAAAAAAGGTGACCTTTGAAAGAAAAAAAAAAAATTAGATTTAAGGTACAGATCCAGTAAACATTTGTGATCAACCAATCAAATGTCAAAATTTTAATTTATCAAACTAATATGAAAAATGATAAAAGAATCAAAAATTGTTTATCAAACCCTTTCACTTAAACAAGTTAAACATCGGAATAAAAAAACATCTCACTCCGCAAAATTTTGATTAGTGAGAAGAAAAATTTTAAATATAAAAAATTTTTTAGCTTCCTTACTTAATCCTTTCTCATATTAAAAATCATTTATTATGACCTCCGAGTCATTATATAAAGAATTGTTTGAAGGAGAACTTTCCGATGTGGAGGAAGATTGTCCTGGATGTCAAGAACTTGAATATACAGATTCCTCCAATTTATTTCGCGACATATTCAATGGGAAGATAATTTTACACGATATTTCAGACTTATCCAAAGATCTTGATGAAAAACTTTTGGACACATTTGTTAAATTATTGATTTTTCATCGTATGCATCAAACCTTGGCAGAATTAATTATTATTAGAAATTTACAAGTTGATGAATCAATACTTCACAACAATGTGAAAAGCATGATCAAAAATAAGAAAGATGTTAATGAAAATAAAAATATTCATGATATTTTTAATGAAGAAGTGGAACAATTATTTGGAAAATCTTATCAATTGAATCAACCAAAGGAGACAAAGAACTTTTGCATTGATAAGATTAATTATAAAAAATGGATGATTCTTTCTTGTATTATTGCTAGTAAGTAATTGAAAAAATTTTTGTTCTTTTTTTTTATGTATTTAAGATTTATTTTTATGAAATTAATTTAAACCAAACCATCTTTTTGTTCGGAAATATCTAGTTATTGCATTTTCTTTGACCCTTTTTAACAATAATGAAAAGTGAACAGAGAAATGAAAATATTTTATATCCTTTTAACCAAAAAACGATAACATTTTTAATGGAAATTTGCGTCATATAATTGAATTTAATTGAATGCGATTGGTATTATAAAATAGATAAATGATTACAGCTTATTATTGATAAATGAAAATATTATGCTCACATTGATTATAGATTTTTTGATAGATTAATATATATATAAATTATTAATAAATAATTTTAATCAAACTTTTACTACCGTTATCATAGAATTTGATAAAAACCTCGATTAGAACCTTATAACCTGCTGCGCCTCAATGGTGCGATTCTCCAGCAATAAAATTGTCCTTTTCATATAATTTGTCGACTTATCTTTAGATTATTTTGGAAACCATCAATTGAAGTGTAACGAAAACAATAAAAACAATTTGGTTGTACCAAAATTTGCTTACATCACGCGTATAATCTAACAAAATATTATCAATTGGTTTTCTGTTTTAAAGAATATTTAAATTTTCTTTAATATATGGGTTGATTATTTGATATAATCGTAATTATCTTATATATTAATAAAAAATCTAAAATTTTATTTAAATTAATTAAATATGTATTTTAATAAATATATAAATAATTTATTAATTTAAATATTAATAAAATATTAATACTAAAAATATTTTTATAAATATAATTACTGATAGATACATTAATTTTTATTTAATTATATATTTATAAAAATAATTTATTCATCATACAGTTAGATATCATCGCTCCCTTTTGTCAATCGTATCACACCCCCTCCTTTCTTCATTTTTCAAATATATTCTGGGAACAGAAATTTTTTAGTTGTAAAAAATCTATTTTTCACACCCCAAGTTAAATATCACATGATTAATTTTGGCCGGCATTATATAATTTTGCCTAGAGGCGATGCATCGCACGGCGCGATGAATAAATTTACTCATATTTATATTATAATTTAACCAAGTAGAATCATGCCAATTTTAATATATATAATTATTCAATATATGATATACATTTATATATACAATATGTATTTTCAATCTTGCAGATTTAATAATTTTATAATTATTCAAGTTTTATAGAAATAATAAAATTATTAAATTCTTTAAGCATAAATTAATTGCTTTAATTTTTAATAAAATTATTTAATAATAATAATAATAATATTTTATTTTATTATCCAGAGTAAAGCATAAAATATTATACTTTTAAGAAATAGTGTGAAAATTTTATAATCACATAAGTATTTCTATTTGTTATGCCATATGTATGATAAAATGGGGGCTAAGCTATTAAAATCATCTTACGGGATAAGAAATTGATTTTGAGTAAATAATGATTAAAAAAATGCTAC